ATACAACCACGACGAATATCCCATGAAGAAAATGCAACCGATTCAACAATGCTACCTCTGCAAGAAATCATTCATGACGTCGAATAACTAAACGCGTTGACATTGCCGTCAGTTGATAATCTTATTGGTCATATTGAAGATGATATTCTACATGTTGATGAAAATATTGTTGAAGAAGAAGATAGTGAACCCGATGAAAGTGATGTAAACGATGAGGATGAAGAAGATTCTGTTTGAAAAATAAATAAATATAGATTTAGCAACGCAATTTCGTTGCGACCTACATGCAAAATCGGTCTGCATTCAGGCGACAAGTAGCAACGATTCGTGTCCCGTAGCAACGAAATTGCGTTGCTACCTGACTTAGCAACGAAATTTCGTTGCTACGGTACGATTTGACCGTTGCAGAAATCTGACACCTTGCAACGATTTGAATCGCTTTAGCAACGAAATTTCGTTGCTACAGGACGTAGCAACGCAAATTCGTCGCTAACGTGCGTGAAATCCAATATAGTCTCAGGCGAATTCACTGCACGCATTTACTACTCTGACGTTGCAACGAAATTTCGTTTCTAGTCCGTGTAGCAACGAAATTTCGTTGCTACTTTGAAACGAAATTTTGTTGCAAAGTTCCGCTATATATAGGAACGAATTTCGTTTCTACTCTCCATACTTCCAACATACAACTCACTTTCTCTCTCTAAACTCTTCTCCCAACACCCTAAACCCTTCTCTCTACCTCTATTACCAAAACGTTCGGTAAAATTTATATATTTTCGATAACGCAATTATATTTTCGTGTATAATTTATATAAATTTTAATAATTGTTTTATTTTGCAGGAAAATGGATAGGAGATTTGCTGCACGTAGCTACGGACGCGGTAGCGGATCGACTCCGCCACAACAAACTCCCGAACCTTCACAGCGGGTGCAGTACTCCGACATCACGTCCAATCCACAGAGGACGCGATTGCGTAAACTCCATCCTAACAAAGAGGATGGAGCATTGTGGTAAACTTTGATTATTTGTTTTATAAAATTAATATATAAATTTGTTTAAAAATATTACTTATATTTGTAATTTTTAGGTTTAATGTCGATGAGGCGGTTAATAATTCCGTCTCATCGTTCATCGAAAGTAATTTTACTGGACCTTGGATGAATTGGTCGTCATTACCCGAGACCACTCACAGCAATTGGTTTGCTAGTTTTACTGTAAGTAATTTTTTAAAAAATTAGTAAATTAATAAAAAAATGTGTTTAATAATTTTAATTAAGTTTTTTTAGCAATCTTGATATTGGGATGAGGTGCATACCTCGAGGGTCTATGATGTATGGAAAAGATGTGTCATGGACCTACTCAAATCCAAGGTCAATAGGTATAAACGATATTGGCAGATGAAACCAGATCGTTCTCCTCCGAAGAACATTGAAACCGAGGTGTGGGCGCAGATGGTGGAGTATTGGGAGAACCTCATCAACATTGCAAGAAGTAAAAAGGCGGCCCAAAGTAGAAAGATGGACGTGACTCCCGAAACCGGTCCAAGCAAGTATACATCGGGCCGAAAGCCATTTAGTCGGGTCATGCATGCATTGGTAATTAATTGATATATATTTTCAAACACCATATATATAATATATAGAAAATTATTCATGTTATAAAAATTTTGTTTGTAGGCCCGAACATGTGGAAAGCGACCATCGCTCCTTGATGTGTTAAAGGTTACACATACAAGAAAAGATGGTATTATAATCGACGGGAAAGCCAAAAATTTGATCGACGAGATCGAACAAGCGGTACGTTTTTAAATATATAAATAGTTTTATAAATATAGATTAATTATTACATTTTTAACTCTTATATATATATATATCACAGCAAACAACGCTTGAAGAATCTCAAGCGACTGCGTTGGGAATGAATACTACAACGCAATTATCCCAACAACAAATCGATAAACTATATGTCAAGGTAATTAGTTGGTTTATTTTTTATTTCTTATAATGTTTTATTTTTTAGTTATAATTAAATAACATACTAATTGAGATATTTGAATTCAGACCGTAAAACCGAACAAATACGGTCGTATATATGGACTTGGGTCGCTCAAACAAGATATCGTCAACACCACTGCCGGGGAAGGAGGAACACCAGCACTAATTCCGACACACACACATATATATATATATATATGTGTATAGTTACACGTAGATATATGAATATTTACCATTGTTTCCTTTCACTTGATATATATACGTAAAGATTGTTTACGATACATATGTGCAGAATATTGCTCACTCTGCCATATTTTTTCCCCTTGAATTGCACATTCGTAGGCAATGCCGGCGAATGGAATCATGATGAGGACGAGAGAGGGAGTTCGAGATGGAACCCGACGGCAGAGCAAATAACGGCGTTGGAAGAGATTTACCGAGGAGAGACACGAGCCCCAACCACCGAACAGATCCGAGAAATAGCGTCTAAGCTCCGAGACTTTGGGAGAATAGAGGGAAAGAACGTGTTCTACTGGTTCCAGAATCACAAGGCCAGAGATCGCCAGAAACGCCGACGCATTGAACATGATTTATCAGGTAACTAATTATTGATCCCGAATCATAATTTTACGTTCTCTTTGAGTGTATTTTCTTCAAAAGTGTGTGTGTGTATATCAGTAGACTTCACAAGAATGTCGCATAATTAAGACTAAGTCATAAACCGATAACGTATTTGCAACTACATGTTTGAAATTAATCACCTGTGCTAAATTTAAGAACCGGCATAAATTTATCTAACAGTATTCGTCTCCACCACTTTTGTTTGTTTTTTTTAAATAGAGTGTGCAGTTTTATAGCTGATCCCATGATAACACATAGGGAGTCCATTAATAATGCCGCCTATGATCGCTTAAAAAGCACTAAGAAAAAATATTATTAGACATAAGTATATATAGTGATATATCATATAACCAACTAAGCAAAAGTGTAGATTTAAAGAATAGTAACAAATCTTTAAACGACCACGTACACTTTTTCAAAATGAGACGAGACATATTATTGTTTTATATGTTTATGTAAAGTACGTGTGTATATATATAGCTGTGCATGCTAGTTTCTGAGATATGGTTGACGATGTCAATAGTATTATTGAGAGGGACAGGCGGTCGCCGAGTTGAGCAGACAAAGAGCTGCCCATCTTCTTCAGCCACTCAGGTATATATACACACACATATATATATATATATATATATGTATGTGATTATATATATCTCTTTTGTAGATTTTAATTTGGCCTTGCTTTTGGAACATTATATGCGATGATACAACGTACTAATCAATCCTAGAAACATGTAAGAAGTATGTCAAAGCATACCAAACAGACAGAATCTCTGATAATTTTGATATAATATATATATATACATATATACACGATATGTATTGTATATATGTATATAATAGTGTGAGTAAGCATATATATATATACATATGTATGGAAAGTCGAACAAGTAAGGAGTCCAGAGAGGGGCAATAGAAACTTTTTTCATGATATGTTGGGAACAAAAATACGGCACGTGTCAAATCCCCCTGATCCCGTCCGTCACTTCACAGCTCAATAACCATCTGACCATCATGTCGGAAATCCCAGAACCGGAAAAAGAGATCATTATGAACCGAAGCCAATACGAAGTCGGTGATGATGAAGAAGAAACAAGAGAAATCCGAACCCTAGATCTCTTTCCGGTTAAGGAAGCCGAACCAGCAGGTTATACCGGAACCAAAAACCAAAACCGGTACTGCTGCAATGACTACTGCTACTACTACGAGTTCTTGCCTGTGAAGAACTGAAGCAAAACCCATGCATGTGGGATCGCAATAAATATGGGGTTGGGGGGTTGGCAGTTAAGGTGGTTTTGTTGCTTTGTCGGAAAATGGGGAAGTGATGTGTGAGTTGTGCTTGAACTTTGGGTGAAGTGAACTTGGGGTTTAAGGTTTTAGGTTTAGGGTTTCGATGATTACCCCGAAAGTGAAGTACGTAGGACCATGTTGGGCTCGAGCTGATCCAGTTGTATCCGAAACCTTTGATGGTTCGCTTTCTGAGGAATATATTAATTGGTGACAAGGTTGTCTTCTTGTTCGTCTGCAAATATGAGAGAGAGAGAGAGAGAGAGAGAGAGAGAGAGAGAGAGAGAGAGAGAGAGAGAGATGTGGGGTTTTTACAACTGGGGTGGCTTTTGCTTTAGACGAACAGGATATTAAAATTATGATGATGACATATCTTCTGTCACTAAATTATATGAAATTGACCAACCTGGACATACTGTAAAATCCTTGGGGGTTAAAATGTTTACCATCAGTATATATATATAAAATACATTACCTATGCATTTGGCTTGTGAGAGAAAGAAGTTGGAAATTTCTTTTTATCATGAGAATGCACCTACGCCCTCTTAATTTTTTTTTTAAAAATTTTGGAGATAATTTTCACTTCTACAAATTCATGGTTGGTATGAAACGGACATTATAGGATTTCGGAGAGAAAAGAAACACAAAAACAACTGAAAAGACTTCAGATGAGGTAAGATGCTCCTTGTGTGGGGAATAAGAACAGTTGATTTTTAACCGAATCGAATTTTTCCGATTCGAACCGTTCTAAATTCCCGAGCGATACTATTTTTAGAAACCGAATTTTCCAGAATCTGGACCGAAACAAAATTGTAAAAACCCTGAAAACCGAATTTTTTTTTAAAAAATCTATCTTAAAAAAAAAAGCCAGACCGAAACTGAACAGGAGATAATATAAAAACCGATTGATACCTATTTTTGTAAAACCGAAAAATTTGAATCGATGCATTCCCGTTTTGAACCCAAATCGATTTCCAAAACACCCACCCTGGACATAATTGCCGAAGGATGGGATACCTTTTATTCATCCTACCATCTTTCTTATGCATATCTATAACCCCTCCCCCTCCCCCTCCCACTCATTAGGTTACATAGCAAATAGCAATAGCGCACGTGTTAAGAACGGGTCTGGTTTCCGTGTAGACAGAGCAACACAACGAAAAACATAAATATAACAAGAAGTTGCTTGCTCTTCTTATTACTGTTCATAATTTGCCCCAAGGAAACTGGGAAAGTGTCATATCACATGACAAGTGAATTTAGAGCAGCAGCTCACGGTTTCTTTATGCAGTTGCTATTATATGATCTGAACGAATCAAGAGACATACAGAGGCTCTGGCATTGTCTCTCTCCGTATCCTATCATTAAAAAAAAAAAATCAAAAGACAATGCATAGTATCCATGGACTAAATGGAGACAGCCGTTGGAGGCTTGTGTCAAGTAGTTGAAACATATGAAAAAATCCACACTCCAACTTACCAGTTGTCTTCTGCCCACTTGCATCCATCAGATTCTACCACATGTAAGCTGTAGGCATGCCTCGACTTGGGGGACAGATTTTCGTAACTGACATTGGAAGCGCAAGAGCAAGTAAGTTCAGAATCACAAAGAAAGTGTACCTCTTCATGCAAAGATGGTGATATTTACCTTTGATGGATCAGATCGCCATGAATGGCAATTAAAGACCCTGCTTTCATTTCAATAGGCACAAAGTCTTTCTGGTCATATGAGGGGGATGGCCGATCAAAGGTCACACCCGCTTCACCCCTAGTGAACCTTCTAACAAGCCCATCTGGAAATGAATCAGAGCCAAGGGAAAGAAAATAAGAAGAAAAAAAGAACAGTTCAAACCCAAGCTACACTAAGATTGTGAAGGATATATGAAGAACATGAGAAGTAAAGAACCCAACTTTTGTGGGACCCAGGGATAGCCCAAAGACAGCCATTAACAATTGTAGAATCTTCTAAAGCCAACCAGAGACCAGTACAGCTTGGTGGATCTGTGGAGACAAAGGAATTATCTTGGTGCGGTACGACTTCGCCTCCAATTCCCGGTTGCTGTGGGTCAAATTGCATAGTTGAATGAAATCATGGCAAGCGAAACAAAATCGATTAAGCCCTTATATTCGGTTTACTGATCCAGTAATATCATTTAGGGTGGGATTATTTGGCATAAACTACAAACATTTAACAAAAGCAGTCAGTGCAAAGAAGAGATCTGTCTCTCCAAGTGCTTCTTTGTATGTCGAAAAGTTTAACAGTTCTACCAGTCTACCAGAACATCAGCTGTTATTTCTCAACACGAAATAAACGTATTCAGTGATAGTAACTTGCCAAGACACTTTGATTGATCCGGACAACCTAAACACATAAGAGGCAATCAAACTTCTACTAGGAAGAAAGGAAAACAGTAAAATACCTTAAAGATATACATGGACTGCATGATGACTGGCCTCTTGTAGCTTAAGGAGGATAGCAAACCCGAAAACTTTTCCGAATACGAGATTTCTTTAAACACAGGATCACACTCATGTAGTGCTGCACCAACATACAAAACAAACAGTGTTAAGAGATTAAACAACATTGAAAAGAAACAAACAAAAACATCTAAAAACTACAAAATCATACCATGACCAACTTTGTTAATGGAGAGTTCCTTTGGTTGCTTCAATTTCCCATCATCTCCAAAAGCTTTTTCTGAGAGATGAAAAAGCAGGAATTTTTCCATGTTTAAGAGGCCAATTTCGTAGATCGAATAAGTCTAACCTAAACTAAACCGCAGAAGAAACGAGTTCATCCCTAGAAGAAAAAACCCTAAATGCAGCCATGAAACACTGCCGAGACAACAACATTCGGTTCGCATGATACAACATATGAATCTCAAGAGTATTCGTACCAGACAATAGAGGGCTTAAAAAGAAAAGCACAGACATCTTAGGATACCTTCAAAGAAAAAGGAGATTTTGTCGGCGCTGTCAAAGAAGTAGTCATCGGTAGTGAGACTCTAAAGAAGAAGAATCAGTTTAGACTCGGAATCCAATGAATCGATCTGATAAACACAGAAAATTCAATTAGGCACCCAAAAAACAGAGAGCAGAACCTGATTTCTCGTGGAGAAGATGGAAGAGACGGAAAAGTCAAATTCACTGAGCAACTCGCCCATCCTCTTGCGCATGGATCCCACCTCCTCCTCGCTCGAGAAGGATTCGATCACCAGATAACCTGTTCGATTTCGATAAATTGTTTTCGTCAAAACAAACCCCTTACCGGATGATATTAGGAGGTAGGAGGGGAAAAATTCATAGGGACCATGAGAGCTGAAGAACTCGAGCTGGTCGGAAGATAGACTGCCGGCGAATCCCATGACACGGTGGTTCTTCAAGTACCGTACGAGACACAAGTAATTGCAGCAGAATGGGTTCACCGCCAACCTTAACCTTAATCAGCCGTCTCGTAGTTATCCATAGGACCGCTCTATATTATATGCACCAAATTCAATTTGAATGAATGGGTCAAAAAAAGAATATTTTATAAAGAGAAAATAACATTATTCTATAAATTTAGCAAAAATATTACCTCATGCATATGCATAAGTATGTTTAATTTGATAAAAAAACTATATTTGAATTGTTTAGACGAATTGTTAAAATTAACAGTAATTATATATAATCATAATTTTATTAAAATTTAATTACTAATTATCTAGTTAGTGTTAGTGTATTAGTTAACAAAATTTGAAAAATTTTAGCGAAAATGATTATATATATAATTACTATTAATTTTAACGATTCGTATAGATATTTAGAAAATTTTAAATTCAAATATAGTTTTTTATCAAATTAAAAATACGTATATAAAAAATTCATAATTTGTTAAATTCATATAGAAAATATTATTTTCTCTTTTATAAAAGGTGTTAATAGTAGTAGGTGTTAGCAAATCCATGTGATTTTCTAAACTAGTTGATATAGTTTTTTCTTTTACATATAAACGGCTAAAACTATGCAAATATTCCGATTCAGGAATCTTCAGTCTTTGGAATAAAAGCTTAAATGGAAAATCAAGAGCATTATATGATGATCAAAAGAACAAAGCTGTGTTTTGATCTTCCTATGCAGATTTACGCTTATCGTATCACATTCAGACAAGAACTCCATTCCCGGAGTTCGTAAAAAGATTAAAAAACGGTTTCTTTTTTTTTTTCCTTTTCCTTTGGATTTTACAATCGCACCATGTTCCAAGTCTATAAAGACAAATGAATCTGAAAAACCAGAAACGAATAATAACAAAAAAAGAAGGGAAAAACCTATTCCAATTTTGTTAATTAAAAAAAAAAATTGAACCCTGGTCGCTAAAAATGTACAAAACTGTGCACAGCTCCCTCTCCACTGGGACTGAACCTGAACTAACACAAGATTCTGCCTGTAAAACTGAGCAAAAATTGTACAAAACGCAAACACAGACGCAGTCCCAAATCTTGATCGATTGATGCCCAGAAGAAACCAACCAATGAATCTCCTTCTACTTGTTATGTGTATATATATATATATATATATGTGTGTGTGTGTGTGTCACGCCCTCCTCCCTTTCAGACGCATCACCTGCAAACTCTCTCTGTTTTTTTCTTGAAGAATCCATCCAAAATACGCACGGGTCATCTCCCCGGGAGATAAAATAGATACGATATTTGATTATGCTCCCCGTCCTAAACGCATCCCAGCAGGCTAGGCCCCTGTCCTGTTTTCGGGTGGAAGGGCGAAAGAATCGAAAGAATTACGATAGAGAACCCAACAAAGAAAATCAAGTGGGGGGAGGTGGTGTTGGATCTTCGGTAGTTCGGTTGGGCCGACACATGCAGTCGGGACAAGGGAATGTGTAAATGGAGTCATTTGGCCGTTTCAGCTCCAACCCCTTTGAGTCACTATGTGACCTCATGTTCAGCATCTGCCGCTTGAAACTCCTCCATCTGCGTCCAACAATCATATCCCCATTTTTAGATTTCACTCTATATGATATGATCCAATCCATTAGTTTCCCAATCTATATGAATGTAGAGGAGAAAGTTAGTAAAGCATAGAGTACCCGATACTGGGATTGTCAAAGAGGATTGCTAGTTTCCGCTTGTCCGGCCGAATTGTCTTAGAATGTCCTCCATACAAATATCTCCGATGTCCCATGAGGAAATGAGGAAAGTTTCCCCCTTGTGTGGTCACAAAAACTTCACTGTGGAGACATACTGTGTAATCTACCGCAGCCATCCTAGACGAGAAGTTCTGCACACAAGATTCTCGCGTAAAAAAGACAACCATAAATAAACATCAAAGATGGTTTTGAAACATACCTTAAAAGGAGCAAGTTCTTCCTCAACTGCGAGCATCTCCTTAGTTTGCAGATTCGGGAACATTTCAAGTAGCGGGGCCATTGTTCTGTTCGCATTATATATCTGCCCAGATGCCAGGTAGATATATGTGCTGTTGTTGAAGCCCATTCCTCTAAGCATCAAACCCACCTGATGGGTTTCAAAAAAAGAAATTAAACCAGAACCAGATGGGACAAATTACACTAATCATACCATATTGCTCACATGAATTTGTGGAACTCTTCCAATTATTGTATTTTCTAGCATCATTTAGTCAAGGGTGAATGCTATATGACGAGTAAAGAGTCCACAATCAAGAGAATTAAGCTTACCTCTAAGGGAGTTAACGGGCATTTTCCGTTGAGTCTTATTGCTCCAGGGCGTATAACACGGCCCGGTTTTGTGAACTTCCCTTTCCATCCCCGTTCTCTCGCTGCTATCATATCTCGTCTTTCTTGCTCACCGCCATCAAATACACAACAGGAAAAAGCTACCATATCCTGTACCATGTTAAGATAGAAATTGTCTTTCACCTGGGGGACACAGCTACATCCAGTACTTAAATTTATGACAAAGACCAACGGGCAATTATTCAAATGTGTCTGTTTTTTTAAACAAACCTCTTCAAAACGCAGATGTACAGAAACATACTTCCCGTCATTGTTTGCACTACGCTCCTTCATTCTCTTGACCAGTGTTTCTCCTAGAGTCAGTATGGGTTTTGAAAACCTCAAAGCTTCGTAATTCGCCAAGCACCTAAGTCTTTGGACAGCAGGAGGAGCATCAAATGAAAGTCTATTCGCAAAAGGGGAGATCCTTATAACCCTGTGCCATGAAAAGACAGCAAAATTCTTCAATCACACATGTTAACGAGACAGTGAGCTGCCCTTACATTATAAGTAAAAGGATCTGTGTTGAACACTGAAACCAAGTTTGACTTGTTAAGACAATTTTCTTAACCAATGTGTGACTCACTTCTCTTCAAGCAGCTTTGGCAGGACTGAATCTCGGTAATACAGAATAGGAGACCATGCTTTAATTCTGAAGTTGAAGACATTGCTCATGTTGTAGTCAAATCGCTCCATTAAGTATTCAGGAATCTTATCAACCACTCGTACATCATTTGCTAAGGTACTGACAAAGAATTCTTCGTCGTAGATTTCCCCAAATTTACTGGAAAGAAAAACAACTATCAGAAAGTAATGAACAAAATGATGGCTTCACTTATGTAAAATACAGCCAGAACATAAAGACCTCGAATCTCTCCATATGCTATGATAATGAAAGTTGGGGATTACAAGAGTTGCGTTGAGATAGCCAGCCACAGCAACCGCATTGCATATCTAAGCATAACAAACAGCTTTGACATAAACAAGGTTTCCATACAAGAACAGAGGATAACCGTAAAACACATAGTAAAAAGATAGACAAACTTACCGATGTTCGCTGTTGATTCAAGCCACCATTTGCCTCAACATATATATAACCATTAGACTCGGGCAAAACTACAATTTTGAACACAAAAAAACGAAAACCTAATTATTAAACCAATACCAGGATCCGAGCTAATTCTGCTCTCCAGGCGGAGCTCGGCAACATGTACAAAACACTTTATCTTAAGCATTAATTCCAAAGTCCATTTCAAAATTTTGACATGCTCTACTTCATTAAGGCTGCAAAACGTTTTCCATAGTACAAGTAAAAACGCTGGCAGAACTACTAAAACTATGAAATACCTCCAGACGACTTGTTCACACATGGCCTCCAATCCCCACCTTTATAGGAGCGTTTCCAAATTGTTGATATCTGCGAGAACACGGTTCAAGGCACTGAAAGTAAGCGCACAATAATAGCATGTTACGTATAGTTATCTTATATATAATAATCATTTGGCTTAGCTAGTGATGTTAAGATAGCCGCAGGCAGTAGCCAACATGCAGAGCATAGTAACACAACAAAGTAGCAATGATGATATACAGGGAATCACAGTATCAGTAAGCATCACAATCCAATAGTCCTGAAAAGATATCATGAAAAGTTCAACAGCCTAAGAACAAAACCAACGTAATCTCAACAAATCTCATGGACTCAGATACAAGAAATTAAGGGCGAGCCTCTGATCATTCTAGCTAATACTCTCTTTTCCACTGTGATTTGTTCTCTAGTTTTGTGCCTGAATGGATTAGGGCAAAGTTTGCAGGTTACTACAGCTAAAGTTGAATGAGACAGAAACTAAAAACGTTTCCCATAATACTTATCCGATTTGTCAGACGTAGTAAAAACTAGCCGCTGGACTCAAGCCACCAAAGATTCAATAAGAGAACCTATCAGTCAGTCATTGAATCGAGCTACCTTAGCCCGAACTAACGAGTTAACTTAGCCTAAACCCGGAAGAAATTCAACATCCCCACATCAAGAGATCAAATTATCATCGCAAATTTTGCCTGAGAAATCACTAAGAAATGATGCATCGATTGAAAGTCTAGAGATACCACAACAATCAACATCTCGAGTTGCCATAAACTCAGAGGTGAACGAGAGAATGCCCAGAAATAAACAACGACCACATCACCAAGACCAGCTCCGCAATGCGGTATCAGCAAAATAGAGACAAAAACTCACCGCATCAGCCGTCGAATTATCGGCGTCCATCTCCGGTCGAAGCTTGGCGTAAACCTGAGGGCTCTTGTAGACAGATCCTGGGGGAGGACGGTGCGTGATTTTGGGAACCGCGTCAAACGACACCGTTCCCATGTAGAGCAACATACAGGAGATGTAGATGAGAGGAGCGAAGAGGAAAATCCCCTGACGCCGGAGAAGAATCGATAAGAGCAACCAGGAGAGCCGGTGAGCGAGGGTCCGACCTGGC